CCCCATAGATGCCAAGCATATGATGGTAGTGATGCTGTTGTTGCTGTTACTTGTGGTGGTGGCGGTGGTGGCGTTGGCGGTGCCTGCATTATTACCCATAGACAGTATGCCGCAATTCGACTGCTGCCATGTCAAGACATGCCTGTGCGCATAGCGTAGTCGCAGTGGCGAGGCAACCAAGCGACGGCAGCAATGCTGGTATTTCCACTTGTTGCATTCGATTGTGAGCGCTGCCAATCGTCAACAGAAACAACAGCAACACATACAAAATAGATTTGTTAGAGAAAGATGCTACGGTACAAGGTGTAGAGCGGAAGGGGAGGAAACGGCAGCGCGGCAAACGAAGAATGACAAGTCGAGAGGAGCAGCATTGACAACAAACAGCGAAGCCCACAAATCGAGAAAAGAAACAAAAAAATTATGAATGTACAAAAATAGCAAGATATGCATGTTTACTGATTAGAAGTTACAATGACAACAACAAGGAGGCAAAAACAAATATTACAACAAACACCAATAAAAAAAAACATGGAAAATATGAAGATGCAACTTTACGTGAAGCTATTTTGAAGGAAACTGAGGAGCGTACCTACCAGCGGCCAAATAAACAATAAGCCAGCCACGTTAGAAGAGTCGCAAAACAGACGTGACAACAACCGCATGGGACGGCAATTGTGAGAGGGGCACATGCTTAGCTGGCTTCTCAGCAAGCGCTCCTCATACCTCATACTTGTAAGCGCGTGCATCAAGGCAAACGAGCCGCACGAATCGCAAATGAGCCCAACAGTTTGGCAGAAGAAGAAGCTCCATTATGTATGTTGATGAGACGTTAGACGACCTACAAGTTAAGTTGCGCTAAGACACGGTGCAATTGCAGAAGAACAACACCATAGATGGTTGTGTTGAAAAAGCAGCAGCAGTCTTGCAACGCTGGCTGCACAAAATAAAAAACGAAGAAATACAACAAAAAAAGAGAAGACCGCCATGGTAGCTTGAGAATTTCATACTCACAGCTAAAGACATACATTTTTGCACGCAGAACCTAATAAGGTGTGACAGAATGAAGATTAGACGGAATAAAAAAATTAAATAATATGAAAAAGCAAAAAAATAAAATGAAATAAAATAAGAAAAAATTAAATAAAAAAATTAAATAAAATATAAAAGCAATAAAATAAAACAAGACAAATAAAAAAAAAAAAATAAAATAAATAAAATAAAATAAAATAAAATAAAATAAAATAAAATAAAATAAAATAAAATAAAATAAAATAAAATAAACAAAATAAAATAAAATAAAATAAAATAACATAAAATAAAATAAAATAATATGAAAATTCAAATAAAATAAAATGAAGCAAAAATAATGCTAAAATTAAATTAAATTATATGAAATTTAAATTGCTCAAAAACTTATAAATTGTAATATACTAGTTTTAAAACATTTATTTATTTGTATGCTCGTTTAGTAACCAAGCAGAATTCACCACGCTGTGAAACAAAACCATAAGTTACTCACCACAACCAAGTAATTCACCTTTCGCATAGCAAATACAGCCCAATAAAGCAACAAGATCATTTTCACCAACGCTTTATCATAGTGTGTATATACTTTATGAACACCATGAGCAAAGTATAAAGCGATGAACGGTATTTATGATGTTCGTTAGTTGAGTGTGCTAACGCGTCGTTGATAATTTTAGAATTGTGCTGTTTGCTTAAGGCGCATGTTCGAGTCTCACTAAATCCTCTAGTGAAGCATTTGTTATTGTTTTCTTCACATTGTAGTTATAGTTGTTCATTATGGCCTTCTTCGTTTGGCAGGAGTTTTTTAAAATCGTTTCTGATTAAAGACTCTAATCAAAGAAGGTAGATTAAATCGTTCTGTCGTTACCGCCGTACCTGTGCTGACCGCCAAATAACTAGGGTCTGCGACAGGTCCCGTATTAATTGCGAGGGAATACAGTTTTTTAAACAAAGTTGTAATTTGTGGAATAGAAATAATTTCTTTCTATTTCTTTTTATTTTGAGAAAATATTTTTTAATTTATGTTCATAAATAAAAATTTTAATTTTGTAATTTATTTAAAAAACATCTTTTCAAGTTTGCAGTTTTGTAGAAATTAAAACATTTTTTCTTGAAGTATCTTAATTGAACTTGATGTTTTGTGATCAAAAAATATATTTTGCTTTAGGCTTTAAATTTTTTTCCAATTCATTTTATATAATAAAATTATATTTTTAAATTAAATTCGCATATTTTCGTTTCGGAACTTTGTAGACGAATTTTTGAATATTAAATAATGTTTTTTCTTTTTACAAATTTTTTTTTTTTGAAAAATAAGCTTTCTTGGCAACATATTTGTGTTTAAAAATTTAATTTTCTTAATTTAAATAATTTTGCAATTCACTCCAACAAAAAAAATTGAAAATAATTTTATTCAAAGAAACGTTAAAATTATTATGCTTAAACATTTTTTATAGGCATTTTTTTACGAAAATACACTTTTTATGAAAATATTTAAATTTATATCTATGAAAAAAATATTCTCCAAATATAAGCGTGAATGGCAATATACATACATGCATACATAAACATCATCTGTAATTACAATATATAGTTTCTTATATAATTTTTCTATTTGACATTTTTTTTTAATATTTTTGGCTGAGTAAAGAATATAATTTATTCTACTTTTGTTTATAAAAAAAATTTGTTAAAATATTTTTTTTTGTTAAAAATTAAAAAAATAATATTCTCATTAATATTTTAATGGATGCAACTTTTATTTAATTTAAAAACATTAATTTATTTATTAAAAAATTTTTACAAAACTTAAAAAAATGTATATATGTAAAGAATATTTTGTAAAAATTGTTAATAGAATTATTTATTAATAAAGTATTTTCTTTTTTTTTTTTATGCAAATATATTTCACAAATTTTTGTTAAGTAAATGAATTTTAAATATTCGAAATCATGATTCTTAACAATATTTTTATTTTTTTTATAAATACGTATTTGTGAATATAAATTTTAATTTTAATTGAATAGTTACTTATATTATATTTATTATTATTATTTTTTTAATTATTATTATCTTTCTTTATACTAGTAGCATATTTTTCTTGTAATTATCAAACTTTTTTATTATTTTTTTTTATATATTTTTAGTATTATTATAGTTTTTTTGTTGTTTGTTAATAAAGTATTTTTTTTTTTAATTTTTGTTTCTGCCAATATTTTGAAAGTTATTTTATTTAATTTTTTTATGAGTTATTATAATTATTACTTTTTTATTATTATTGTCAATTTTTCGTTAGTATTATTTCATTTTTTAATTAGTATATTTTTTAATTATTATTATTTATTTAATTTTCTCCACTATTATTATTATTGTTTTTTTTTTTGTTATCTCTAAAGCAAGTCCAGCTCAAGTACAGTTGCATTTTTTTTTCTCACGACCTACATTTTCTCTCAAGCAATGCCTTAAGCCACCCACAAAGCGGGATGGCCATTAGCCTCGTGCGTTCGACAGCCCTTATTTGTGGTGTGTTTGTATTCGAAAACAAAAAATTTTGCCGTCAGCAAACAAACAGTCAACGCATTTGCGACTCACCTCCGAGGTCACAGTTGGCCCACCACATATCTTTGTCGTAGATAATTTCCTCTATCTTGGAACCAGCCTTAACATCAACAACAATGTCGGTCTTGAAATCCAACATAGACTCACACTTGCCAACAGATGCTGCTTCGCACGGAGTGGGTAATTGAAAAGTTAATTACTCTATCGACGCACCAAAACCAAACTCCACATATCACTCAGCATTCCTATTCCTACGAGAAGGCAATAAGATATAATCTGTTGAGTCGACCCTCGGAGAAAAGTTTAGCGAATGATTGAAGGTTCTTTGCGAATACCGTAGATGATGCCACGATGTACTGGACGAGTTATGCGGTGGCATTGATACACACATAGTACAGCGAATGAAGAGACTGCGGCTAAGCTGGCTCGGTCCAGTGGGCCGGATAGATGACTCTCACTCGAGCATTGAATTTAATCGGTGCAGTATGACCGGTGAATGTAGAGAAAGTGTGGCTAGGTGAAGAAGGACCTGGTAGTACTGAATAATTCCAGCTGAATAAATGACGTAAGCGGTGTTAAAGAAAAATGGTCATAGATGAGAAGGAGTCGGTAGAGCATTACCTTTGCTACTGCACAGCTGTCAGTCAACGTTTGTTCGCTAGTTTTTATTAAGATTGCATTGCAAAGACTGCTTCAGCAAGCTCCGAAATCCGATTGCTAGCGCACCGCAAAAGATAAGAGTAACCTCTTTCCATAGGGCCACCATAGGTATGACGTGAACGAACAACCTTACCAACTAACTAATTTGTCTACCCTCGCAACTAAGTTGAAGTCTTAGTAGGAATTATAGATTAAGTCTAGCACTCTCGATGTGCTTGGGCTTTCATTTGCTATCATTGTGGTCTACTTAAAAGAAAAGATTTATTTCAGTGTGTTGGAGTGAAGCTTTGAAGATGAGGAAAACATCTTGATATGCAAGAAATCAAAAGCTGCGACCAAAACTTTCTAATGACTTGCAAGTAATAAAAATATTTACAAAAAAAAAAATGTCTATATATATTTACACACAAAAACAATATCAACATTTTTACCTTAAATAGTAGAAAAATAAATAAAAACTATACATACATACAAACAATTATATAACGATGAGCAAATATTACATTTTAATTATGATATTCACACTTTTTTGGCTGCTGCCCATTTGCGCCCGCAAATCAAATACCATTTTCACTCATAATCCACTTTTTTTAATTTTTTTCTTTCGAAACAAAACAAAACACTATTTGCCAACGCCATTGTTTAGCATTTTATTTTTGTTTTCTTTTTCATTTTCAATTTGCTTACAAATTTTCTTATAAACTTAAATATTTATTTTCACATTTTTCCTTTTTTTTGTTTGGTATTATTTGCAGATACATCGGGGTACTATTTCGGCGCACCCAACACACAGACACGCTTTGTGCCATCCGCTGCGTTCCAAACGAACCGGCAGCCCGCGCAGGCGGCCTATTTGACAGCGTCACGCGGCGGCGGCGGCGGTGGCTCGGCGTTAACGACGGCCAATGGTGCTTACACCCAACCGGGCTCATATCAGGAGCAGCTGTTGTTCATCAGCAATGACGGCAAGCAGCAGCAACAGCAGCAACAACAGGCACAAACGCAGTCCTCAGCGGTGGCGTATTCACCGTTTGGTGCGCAAATTTCGGTGAGTCAGCGTATATATGTAAAATTAAATAAATACATATATTTGCACCTATCAATTTTGACTTAAAGGTTGGGACACTTGGGTCAATATGTACATGCATCGATTTTGGGAAATTGACATTTAGAGAATAGTTTGGTTATAAAATTAGAAGGAAATTATTTAATTTTAAATAAATTTATTTTATTGCTTGTTTAAGCTAACACAAAACTTCTTCTTCTTCAAGAGCCGCTTACTCGATTAGGTTCGAGTTAACAAAAGCGAGCCATTCGGTTCTTCTTATCGCTGCTTGGAAATAACTAGTTCCTTCTCTACCTGATCTTTCCAACGGAAGGAAGGTCTTCCTCTTCCTCTGCTTCCACGGGCGGATATGGTATCAAATACTTTCAAAGCTGAAGTATTCTTATCCATCTGAACCACATGACCCAGCCAGTTAAGCCAATGTCTCTTCATTCGCTGAACTATGGCAGTGTCGCCGTAGAACTTGTACAACTCATCACTCCATCAGCCACATTTAATTCGCTGCCTTATCCAGTCTGGAGAAAGCAGAACTCACGGCGTGGTTGTTGAGGCCAATAATGTCAATATCATTCGCGTATCCCAGCAGCTGTACACGCTTATAGAAGACTTTACCTTCTCTATTCAGCTCTGCAGCTTTTATTATTCTCTAATTTAGAAAAGACACACGATGAGGAATCAGCTTGTCTGTAACCCCGTTTGGTATCGAACGGCTCGGAGAGGTGCTTCCCGATTCAGACGTAGCTTTTAGTACTGCATAGATGTAGCTCCCTTTTGTGCTATCGAAGGATGCTTTAAAGTCGATGAAGAAGTAGTTCTTCACCGCCGTATTTGAATTAGCTCGGCCGGTGGCCCGTAAGCTTCAGTCGTTTTGTTGCTCACTATTCGCACCTCGTCATAGTTAGGTAACGGAACGTCTATGCCATGGTTATCGATTGAGATTTTGGGTTCACCTTCTCCGGGTACTCTATTTTCACTGGTATTCAGCAGACTAGAAAAGTGCTCCGTCCATAAATTCAGTATACTCTGGACATAAGTTACTAGATCACCTCTGTGTGTACTACAAAATTCTGCTACGGATTTGAAACCTTCTGTAAGTTGTCCTATCAGTTCGTAGAATTTTCGAGCATTATCTTTGTCGACCAGCTTCTGAAGGTTCTCCACCTCATCATAATCACGCATCTGGGCCCCATTTTTTTTTGTCTGCAATTGGGGCTTGCTTCCTTCTTCAGCTCTCAGTACCTATCCCGTGGCGAGGTGTTTTTGCAAAATTTCAGAATTTCAATAGCTTCGTTTTGAGCTAACCGTAAGGAGCTTGAAAGGCCGTCCCACAGTTCCCTTATACCGAATAGTGCTTTCAGAGAGAAAGCGTATAAGTTGAGTAGAAAACCGTTCGTCTGTTTTTTGTGATTGCAGCTCAATGCCTCTGGAGATCCAATTTCATTCAGAGAGTGCTCTAACGGTACCATCGATTTTATGAGAACTCACTTTAATTACTTCTAAATAAAACACATAACAAGATGGCAACATTCTGCTGAATCATAATAAAGTCGACCATTGCTCAAGCAGAGGGCGACTGGTGGTGAAAAGTGTATCATTTACAACGACGTCAAATGAAAATGGTCGTGCGAGATCTGCAGTGAGGCGGCACAAACGGTCCCCAAGCCAGGTTTAACGACCAGGAAGGCTTCGTTGTATGTTTGGTGAGATTGGTGCAAGGAATCATACACTATAAATCATGCCTTATAGCTGAAATCTTAATTAGGACCTCTACTGTCAGCGATTGGGCCATCTGAAGTAAGTAGTTACCCAAAAGTGCCCAGATTTGGTCAGACAATATATATCGATGGTGACTCGCCAGAAGGCGCGAGAGCTTGGTTGGGAGATTTTTATGGAAGCACCTTACAAGCCGAACTTCGCACCAAGTAATTACCAGCTGTTTTTGTCTATGGTGAATGCTTTGGCTGTTGAAGTATTGGTCGCAAGAGAAGCCTTTGAAGTTCGTTCGTTCCAATTTTTCTTGCCAAAAGTGGCAGGGGTTTCTATGGGAGAGGCATAATGATATTACCCACAAAATGGCAGAAAGATATCGAGTAAAATAGAGCATTTTGAGATGAATCGGATAATTCTAACTGTGCTGAATAAAGATAGATGACTTGATGCAAAAATTATGGATTTCTTTTTACTAGACATGATACATTATCGAGTATACAATGCAGAACATTACACACACTTTTCTCATTGATACTGATTTATAGTTCATAAATCATTGATTTATGCCAATTTATGTCTGCAACTCCTCAAAACTGCCCACTAAGTGAAGACATAAAGTAAAAAAAAAATTAGTAAATAAATAAAAATGACTTTATGTATTAACACCGTTATTAAAGCAATCAAACGCTACTCATTTCCGCTGCACCAAAGCCATTTCTTGCGGACTAATGAATCTGTTGGAAATGAAGATGATGGATGGATGATAGAAATGCATTAAAATCAATTAGGAAATCAAACAAATGGAAAACTCAAGCAAATGCAATGAGGGGTGGGCATATTAGTATCTATATATATGTGTGCATTTATGTATATGTAGCTTAAAAACTGAAAATTATGGAAATAATTGAAATTTGAAATGCCATGGCGTGTACTACACCTGCCACATATCGACATTTCAGCGCAGTGAAAAAAACTAAAACAACAATAAAAATTGAGTAAGCAATCAATAGCGAAGAAATAAATAAAAAAATAAAAAAAAAATATTGAATCAACTAAAATGCAATCAAAGTAAATTACAAAAAAAAAAAAAAAAACAGGGAAAAAATAGAGTTGACCAAGTCCAAGTGAAAGTCCAACAAATAAACGCCACAGCCAATGAACCGACCGACAATGGGCGCACGTCAAATGCCGCCATTATATGGCCACTCATTGCTGCGCGCTGCGCCGACCAAACGACACAACGAACAAAAAGCAACTGCATTTCAAAAACTAAATGGAAAATGAAAATTTTCTGTACTTTTTTTTTTTTTTTGGTATTTTTCGTGCGCGATTTTGTGTTGAATAAATGCAGTGCAGACACGCACCGCCAGCAGTTATGTGGCCGCTGCAGACCCGCCATTGTTTGGGGTGAGCTAACGGTGTTGTTTTTTCTTTTTTTTTGGAAATGCATTCGTATTACCACTTACGTACATGCAGCCAATATTTGTTGTTGCTTCCCAAACAAGCATTTGCGTGGCTTTAAGGCGCATGCGTGACTCAGCTGAAGTATTTATGCGAGGCGGTGGTTGTCTTGTCTGCGCAGACGCTCAACTTGGTAGCATATTTGTTTTGACTCTTCTGCGTAGTTTTCGCCTATTTTTCAACGTGCTTACGCGTGTGTGTTTTGTTTACCAATTGAGGAAATGTCGAAAAAAAAAGAATTGTAAATGTTGATTAGGCTCAGTTGGGTGGTGTAGGGGCATTATTTGTTTTTTTTTTATTAATTTTAAATTTTTTTAATTTTTTTTATTTACATACCTACGTTATACCAAGCGTACTATGGCGAAAAAAATACAGCGAATTATAAAAAAAAATTAGTTTCGTTTAGCATGCCCGTGTTCTGCTGGTAAGATATTAGGTCAAGTAACAAGTCATCCATTATTTTTGTATTAAATTGTAGACTTCACTGACCACAGCAAGAAATATCCGATTCATCTCAAATAGGCACCATTTTACTCGATAACTTTTTTACCATTTTGTGGGTAATATCATTATGCCTCTCCCATAGAAACCCCTGCCATTTTTGGCAAGAAAAATTGGAACGAACGAACTTCAAAGGCTTTTCTTGCGACCAACTTTTCAACAGCCAAAGCATTCACCATAGACAAAAACAGCTGGTAATCACTCGGTGCAAGGTCCGGCTTGTAAGGTGTAGACGTGTGTAGTCTGACGTTCTCCGGATGAAGCACAATTCCTCTCCTGTTAGCCAAAGCTGGGCACTTCTGGGGGATTTCTCCATTCAGACGGTCCAATTGCAGGTTCAAATTAAGACTTTGGTTATAGAGCAACAGTGCATAGTGAAGGTTTTCTAGTCAATCCCACCAAACAAACAACAAAACCTTTCTGGTCGTCCATCATGGCTTTAAGTCCACTTGGACGGCTCACTCCCCTTTGACCGTGGTCAAACAGTCCTGAGCTAAGTAATCAACACATCTTGGAATTGCTGCCGTGATTACACTTTCAGTTCTTACATAATCCATGCTCACTCTGCCCTCAAGTCATTTTAACACCCCATATTATTTTCGCTGAGCTCGAAAACTCCTTCAAGCAAATAATGCCTACGATGTATTCATTAATATTCAACGCTTCCAGTTATTTATATAGCGTAAGTAGTGGCAGCCGCGGTTGCCGAGTGGTTAGACATTCAGAAGGCTCAGGCTCGTAGCCCGGTGCCACCGACATCTAAAAGTTATGTAAAATCAATTTAAATAAAAAAATTAAATTAAATTTTCTAATTGCGGTCGCCCCTCTGAGTGTATTTCGGACATGAAATGCAGTCTTCTGGTAAAAAAAAGACCATCAGCCCTTCAGAGGCGGCTTAGTATAAACTTTAGGTCCCCTCATTTGTTGGAAAAACATCAAGACGCTAAAACCACAAATTGTAGGAGGAGCTCGGTCGAAAAATCGCTTCAGCGGTTACAAAGTGCCAATTGTATAAGTAGTTAGACCACCTCAATCCCCTCTATTGTCGGAAGCTCCCAGATATTTATATTTTAGAATAAAATATGGTGAGACTTACTCCATTTTCTGAAGTTCCGTCTCTCTACTTGCTGAGATTTCAATCTTCCTGTCAACTCTTTAACGGTTTGTTTGTTTATTTACCGATAATAACTTTGATCCCCGAAGCTGAAGAAGGTTTAGCACTTGGTTTCCGACAAATGTGAACTCTCTCTCTGTCAAGATCTGATCGGGCAGTCTGTTGTCTTGTTAGCAAGCTGATCGGTTTGTCCAGG